TCTGGAATCACAGAGAGCATAACAAGTACAATCTCTCTAGCCCACCCTCGGTCTGTGTCACACACAAATACATCCCCCTGGGAACATAACCAGAACAAACAATTCACTTGTTACATGCGTGCTGTGGCTAACTAGGTGAATGGTCACTCTGTTCTGCCAGCAGAGGAACCTTTTTTTTTTTTAAATGGATTCAGGACACAGAGAATTAGGTTCAGACAATAGTGTTTAGTGATTTAGTAAAAAAGAAAGACTTTAAGCATCTTGTCAAGGGGAAAGTGTACATGTGACAGGGGAAGCTGGAATTTATCCCAAAACTTTACCAGACAAATACTGTACCCACTAAGGCACAATTACCCCTAAGGATCACAGTAGTATAATCGATAGGAGAGCACTAAAAGGAAAGTGTTAGAGTACTATAACCCAGTTCAGAGTAACAGAGTGATCTAAAGTAGCAGAGTACTTTAATCTGTATCTATTATCAAAATATGAAAGTACTCTTCCTTGACACTCTAGTTTTCCTGCTCAGTTGTGTCTGCCTCCTACAGGAATGCTGTGAATGATGAGAGAAAGTCTACAGATGCCATCAGCTGTCTGATTGGCTATTTCCTTGGGTCCTGCCCTATAAGGAAAGGAGCCGAGGAGACAGCAAGAAGGAGAATGAGGAGGAGGCCCCGGCCTTGTTTGGACTGAGGATGGATGGAGGAGGTAGAGGCTTGATAAACTGGGAGGCAGCGCCTTAGACTCTCACTTCTGTCCTGCTCCCATCCCACATCATCCCAGCAGACCCTGCACTGCCACGGTAAGACCTCCTCAGCTGCACTCTGCTATGTGATCATGATTATTTTCCTGAATGATGTATTCTGGCTTCTGCCATCATTTACTTCTTTCTGTAATTAATCTCTAGGAAAACTCTCATCAACACACCTCTTTAATCTACAACTTTCATATTCACTTCAAAGTCAGAAAAATATTCCATTCCTCTCCACTTCATTTCTGACTTCTTGTTTCTCCTACTTTATGTTCACTCCTCTCTCCTCCGTTATGCTGTTTCGCCTCTTCTCTTCTCTCCTGTTTCCTGCTCTTCTCAGTGAACATATTTCTCCAAGTTTGTCTCTTTAATGTTGCATCTGCTAAACCATCTTTTCTCCTTCAGTTATTACCTGGATTTTCTCTCCCATTAGTGAAAAGTTTCTTTTTGTTTACCCACTTTCCTGTGAATGAAACATCACATTCCTATGTTTTCTCTGTCTTTGGTTCTCCTCTCTCCTCCTGCAAAGAGAAGATCATGTTCTCTGTGCCTAAGAATGTTTTTTCTTGTGAAGTGCTGTCCATGATCTCATTGGAAGTTTCTTATGTTAAGAAAATTGTCAGGATGTTACTCCTTTACCTCTCTGTGTCCCAAGCTCTGACTCTGGCTAAGAGCCTAATGATGTCTGAAAAGCCTAGTTTCTGCAGTAGATGTTCAATTGATAAAAATTGGTTTATAAAAATACTGTAAATTGTTTTTATAAACCAAATATGATGCCTTCTGGTCCAAATGTTCAGACCTTGTAATGTTCTCTATCAGTGACAGAAGAGACCAAATTATTGATAGTCTCTGTCTCAAACACACTGGAATATCATAACATCTGAGCCCATTTGATATCATTCAACTCTAAATCAAATCAGACAAAATAAATCTAAAAACTATCTTATGTTTCATTAAAATATCCACCAGCAGAGGGCATCTTTGAGACATTCCACAGGACTTTTCATTACCACATTAAAATAAATATGTAAAATGAATACTCATTGTATTTTGGAGTTTGGGGTTTCAGAGTGTTTTCCAACCTAATAACTCCATAAAATAGTTTGTTTATAAAGCTCTTAATGTCCTTATTTAAATGTGCTTTTAAACCTTTCTGTCCATCCTTTTATTAGATGTCCCTAGGTCTAGGTGATTGGGCCTTTTCAGTGCCAGCACCCCAACTCTCAAACAAACCTTCGCTCCACCTCTGACCTGGAAATGTTGAAGTCTAAGATCAACCTTAATGTCTAGACAAGGTTTTAATACCATGTAGCATAGTGGCATTTTGTTATTTCTGTGTTTTTTTTTATTATTGTAAAGGTTTTGGTCACCTTAGTTGGTTGTTGTGAAGCATTATATTAGAAAATCAGTCAGTCAATCAGCAAAATCCCTCTGATTTCTGCTGCATCATTCTCCATTGTGGGAGCTCCATATAAATGTCTCTGTTATCAGTCACCTCTACAAAGAAATATTCCTGATCTGATGATTTCTGAATCTTTCCAGCCACTATTCAGGTTTCTGATTGGCTTCTTACTGAACCTATAGGAGCTTTCCAGATTTGGGTAAGGACTCGGTCCAACAACTTGCAGTGGTTAGAAAAAATATCTTTCCAGATGAGACCAGTACCAGTACCAGCTATGTAAATCTAAAGCAAGACTGGGCCTGCCATCCAGCTGCAATCTGATCAGGATTTATTTTCCATCATCTTCAGATACTTGTTTCCAGACAATATTATAAATATATATGTGGAACTCAGTGTCTGGAACATTTAGTCATTTCCATTGTTTGGAAGAACACTTAGAGTTTTATTTGTGCTACAACCAAATTTATTTACCAAGTCTGCTTTAGGTCTTGAATTTTGGAAGGTCTAACATTAGGGGGGTTAACTGATTAGAAATAAATTTTTACTTATAATTAAATTTATGTAACCTGCGTTTATATTAAAAAATCATTCATCAGAATTGAAAGTGAAGATAGAAAAAAAATAATTTTAGTATAATAATCTTTCTTTGGCAAAAATAAATTTCTATACATTCAGCTGAGGATTTAAACTCACAATCAGACAAGGACAAAAACTTGAGTTAAGCAAAAGTTCTTATTTTTATTTATTTTACTTATTCTGTGTTTGCTGCTGATTTTGGATCAAATTACTCTCTTATTTGTGTGCTTCTGATGCTTTCACTTCAAAGTTAAAATTCATTAAGAGGGATGAAGCTGAGACACACACAGATGAAGCCTGTTAAGCTAAAGCACTCTCTGCAGTCAATGTAAGCCTAAACTTAAAAAGTAAACAGAAAACCACAGTAGAACGTTGCTCAGTATCTGTCGTAACTGACTGACAAAGCATATGTTTATCCCATTCTGCACCTTCAGCTGCAGAATGTGATGTTCCAGATTCTGTGATGTTGTCCTGACATATCAGCAGAAGCAGCTGCTGCACAAGGAATTTACAGTTCAGAAAGATGGAGAAACAATTTAACTGACTAGGAAAACAGGAGCTGCACAGAGGGGTGTCAGGCAGAACTCAGAGCAATGTTAACGCACAGAGGCCTGTCCTGCAGCCAGAACCAGCAGAAATATTCAGTTCCTGGAGTTTATGACTAAATATGGAGCAAAGTGCTGTGCGGGGAGAGGACCATGAGGAGAGATGAGGAAGGACAGATGGAGTGGAGTGGGGCAGGGCAAGGCAGAGCTAACAAAGAGAGAGAGCATACCAAACACAGGCAGGAGTCCACTCATGACCGAAATAGGAAGTCTTCTCTGAGCAGAAGGTCATGTGACTACCTACCAGCTCTAGTTTTGGTGATGCTGCACAACTCTGATAAATTTCATTCAGGTTTTCTTCCTCTTTGCTGTTTTTAATGTAGAAAAGTGATTTTAGAATAAATTTGGTTGAGCTGGATGGTACATTTTTAGTTTCTGGGCTCATTTTTACTGTTTCATCTTTAACTGACAGATAACGGAGTATCCCCAAATCTTCCTATTAAGCTAATTTTGCATTAATCAATATTTATTAACTATTACTGAACAGTGACATTGAACCATGCAACAGTTTTTTTGTTTTTGAAGAAACCTTTTAACCCTTTACAATGTAAAAGTTCACAGAAAACAACTTCAACATGACAAATTATTTGAAAACAACAAACCTGTATTTAAATAAAATAAATAAAAACCTGATTGAATTAGAAATTATTTACAAGATAATGTGTGGAAGTATATAAATATATAGTTCAGAAATTATATATATATATATATATATATATATATATATATATACACACACACACACACACATATTATTGGTGGTTGAGTGAGTTTTATTTGATGAGCAATAATCAAGTTGATGAATACTGCTCTGATTTTTCTGAACTGTAAAAGCACATCTCTTTCTCACATCTCTCTTCATCAGTGTGAGTCGTTCTTTTAGGTTTCCAGCTTGTCCACAGTGCCCCCTGCAGCCATGTGTGATGATGAGGAGAGCACCGCTCTGGTCTGTGATAACGGATCTGGTCTATGTAAGGCGGGTTTTGCTGGAGATGACGCTCCCAGAGCCGTCTTCCCCTCCATTGTGGGACGGCCCAGGCACCAGGTGACTGTTCAATGATTAATGCTTACAGCAATCATAGACAATGAAAAAGGTGTATATTGACAGACTGTGTGTATTTGTGTCAGGGAGTGATGGTGGGAATGGGACAGAAGGACAGCTATGTGGGAGATGAGGCTCAGAGCAAGAGAGGAATCCTAACCCTGAAGTATCCTATTGAACATGGAATCATAACCAACTGGGATGATATGGAGAAGGTCCGACACACACGCACGCACACACACAACCCAGATAGCATAGAATGATCGAAACATTGAAGCAATGTCAGGCAGAGAAATTGAATCAACATTAGGATTTCAACCATAACTGATATAGTAATGTTGATTCAACAAACATCTGTATGTCAATTTACATGCATATTTGTGTTGATTCTACATTGAATCAGTTAGGAATCAACATTGATTCAACCGTCATCTGAATGTGGATCTACATGCAGATTTGGGTTGATTTTATATTGAATGAAAACTAGGGATTTATGTACATTTTTAGGTCTGATGGGTCTAGATCATAACATACCACTAAAAGTTTCTTCACTGGTATTAAGCAGTATTTTATTGGCAGATGATGGGTAAACTGTGTGTACAAAAGGTTAAAAATGACAACATGGGATTGATATAACATTTTATTTAAGAAAAGAGAGACAGATCTGTAAACAAACTTAACTCCTTTTTGACTGTCAGAACAACAGTCTGTTGTCCATGGAAGAACAGCATCCATGAGGTTAAGCTTTGTACTGTATGAACCAGGGAAACAGTACAAGTTGCAGTAACCCCAGTCTGACTCTGGTTGGCATCACCTTGATTCCTTGCGATGCCTTCCTCCTATTCTGGTGCGTAATTACGCACCAGAATTAAGCTGAACTGCAGGCGCCCAGAAGCGTCTGAGGCACAGACTGGTTCTGAGCTGTCTGCTCCCTGAGGACTCTGTGGAGCCCCCTCTGATGAAAACCAGCCGGAATGAACCAGAATAGCTTCCTTAATTCCAACTGGACCTCTGTGTCCTCTTTCTCATACTATTGTAACCCAGATTCTTCAGATTTGAATAAAGCACGCTTGAATTATACATAAGAAAATCTTTAATTTTTAAGTTAGTCATAACTTAATACTGGTGCGCTTACCACCAGCGCACCAGTCACCAGTCAAGACTCAAGACTGACTCTTGAGTCAGTCCTCAAGAGTCAGCTTCGGACTCTTGAGGACTGCAGAGCAGTGGCTGAAAAACACAAAAATAAAAGTGAGGAAGGCACCGGTTAGAAAGACGATGAACATTTGAAAAGTTCTGAAAGACATTGAAATATTAAACAGTGTACTGGTTACAGGTCTGAGAACAGATACAAACCGTATAGTTCCCCATGTACACTCACTGTTAAATATTCATCTTAATCTTTCATTAATATTTATCTTAATGTTTACATATACAATTACATTTACCCATCAAGCTGCAGTATAGTGTAGCATTTATGATGCTGCACTCATGTTAAAATGAGGGAATCAATATTTAAAATAAAGGCTGTTTATCAGAAAACCTAAAGATAAAACTCAGGGAGGATCAGGGTTGATTTAACATACCAGAGACACATAGATAGAGCAAAAGGTGATTTATAGTGTAGTTGGAAAAATTATTTATAATTTATATAGAATAGGCTTCCATCAAATAATTGGTTCAATCTTCCATTAACTACAAATATTTCCAAATAAGTTGATTAAATTCATTCAAAAATGTCCATGGTGATAAAGATCCTGCACAAGTAATAATAGTCCAGTTCAGTTTAACCAGTTACCAATCCAAGAATCAACAGACTGAATCAGTCATTAGCAGGTTTAGTTCAGTGTTTCACCTGCCTTACATGTTTTAAGTGTTTCCCTTCTGCCTCACCTGGATTGAATCTGTGGATGATTAACAACCTTCTGCACTTCTTGATGGCTGCAGACGGTCATGCAGTCATCTAACTCAGCTGTTCTGGAACAGAGGCTCATTTAAGCACGTCCCTAAGCACATCATAATAAAAAGTTAAAAACAAGTGATTACTATCACAACAATTTAAAGCCCACCTGGAGCAGCCAGCCTTACACTTCCTTGTCCACCACATGCTCTCCCAGACCAAACAATAGGCCTCGCCCTATTTTTTTTAAAAACTCAAATCCCACAAAATCTCGCAGGATTTCATACTTAGGCCTGGAGTGGTGGGTAGGATGAAAATAATACAAAAGGAGACATGACCTCAATTATTAAAAATATCTGTTTTGCCCCAAAATAACCAGTATTACTATAGGCACAAAACAATGCCCTTATTATTCAGTAAACACATTTAAGATCAAAGTAATATTGAGAAACTTACCATAAAACTGCTCAGAGTAGAATTCAATTCAGAAGCCGGTTGCAAACAAGCCAGCAGCAAAGTGGCTGTTTGGTTGGGACAAACCACTACTTGTACACACTACACTCCTTGTAGATATTTTTGTGTCAGCACATTATGCACACTCAGTAATAATAGTTACAGACAAGAAAATGTACAGAAAGGAATCACAACCCACTGTTCTCAACATGTAGTGCTTAATTTGAAACATGATTAACCCCCATCTAGTAATAAAATGTTCTGACCCAAAGCTCAAGGAGGGAGGAGGGAGAAAGGGACGAGAGGGGGTAAAGAGGAGAAGGTTGGGAGGAGCGGCTGGGTGGGGGAGGTTTGGGAGGGAGTAGGGGGAGATGAGGAGGTGATGAGGGCTGCAACAAACTGCCCAGATTGCACACAATGGTAAATAAACATTGAATTATAGTCAGAATGGTTGGTATTTGGTTGAGATCAACAACTGACGGTGGATCAACCATCAAACAACCATCCAATTCTAGCCAAGTAACCAATATTGAAACAGTCATTGAATCAATGTTTTGTGGTTGAAATCTAATAAATGAAATGCTGATGTCTGATCAACGTCTGATCAATGTTGAATCAATGTATACTGTTTTGTCACATCCCTCCCCTCCTCCTCATCGGAGCTCTGGGTGAGAGCATTTTATTAGTGAGTAGGAGTTATAACATTTTAAATTAAGCACTGTAGAGGATAATGGGTGCTGATTCTTTTCTGTACATTTTCTTACTTGTTCATAAAAATTCTTACTTACTGTTTGTGTGTGATATATTGACACAAAAACATCTACATCTTACTACAAGGAGTGGAGCGGTCCACCCCAACTATTTACATGAGTGAGATGTCCCAACCACACAGCCACTTCACTGTTGGCTTGTTTGCAAAAGACTTTAATTCAATGTTGAATCGCCATCATGTGCAATCTGGGTACAGAACAAAATCCCAACTCAATGTTGTCAACACATAGTGCTTAAGTTAAAATGTGATTAACCCTCACCTAAAATTAAAGTTGTTTCACCTGGAGCCCAAGGAGGAGGGAAGGAGAGTGGAAAGGGGGAGGGAGATTAAGGGGTAGATGGGCCAGGTGAGGTGTGGGCAGTTGGGGGAAAGGGGTGTGTGTGTCTTTGGCAGGTGGAGGGAGAAGGGTTCGGCGTTTGAATGGCGGGTGGCAGGAGGGTTGTGAAAAACAGCTTACATTGATTGAACATAGATTACTAGTTCTTCCCCAAACCTTGTCCTCAAGGCAAACTGACCTGCGTGTTTACAGTTCAGCAAAACCCCATTGATCAGACGTCAATTAAAATCATGTGTGCTGAATTAGGGAAATGCCTAAAACTTGTAGGGCCTTGTGGACCGGTGCTGAAACACACTGGATTCGATGTTGGCATTTCAATCAATGGATATCGACAATAAATCAACATTGATTCAATGACACATTTTCAACGTTAGTTAATTGGCTAGAATTGAATGGTTGTTTGATGGTTGATCCAGCTTCTGTCATTAACCTTAATCATAAATTCAACCTTTGTGATCATAATTCAACATTGAATTAACATCTTTTGCCAACAAGCCAAGAGCGAAGCGGCTGTGTTTGGGACATCCCACTCATGTAAATAGCAGGGGTGGACCGCTCCACTCCTTGTAGTACGTTGTAGATGTTTTTGTGTCAATATATCACACACAAACAGTCCGTAAGAATTTTTATGAACAAGTAAGAAAATGTACAGAAAGGAATCAGCACCCACTATCCTCTACAGAGGTTAATTTAAATGTGATAACCCCCTCTCAGTAATAAAATGCTCTCACCCAGAGCTCTGATGAGGAGGAGAAAAGGGGAAGAGGTGTGACAAAACAGCATCAACATTGATCAGACGTTGATCAGACATCGGCATTTCATTTATTAGATTTCAACCAAAAAACAACATTGATTCAATGACAGTTACAACGTTAGTTAATTGGCTAGAGTGGGATGGTTGTTTGATGGTTGATCCACCGTCAGTTTTCGACTTCAACCAAAAATCAACCATTCTGACTATAATTCAACGTTGATTTAACATTGTGTGCTATCTGGGAAGTTTGTATTTTTACCCATATTAAATCTATATACTGACTTCCATTCATTTTAGTTTCTACTTTTATGCATAACCCAGACATTTTCCCTAACCCTGTTCTTAACCCTAACCCATAATCAAAACTTAATTTGCGCCTTACCTCTAAACCTAGTCCCTGATCCTAAACAAGGGGGGCCACTGTATTAGAACTGGACTTTGGTCCCCCATGAGGTACATTTGACTTCAGAAGTTAGTAAATATACCAGAAAAGGTCCTAAATATGATAGCTAGACAAGTACACACACACACACAGCACTTCCTGACCTGCTCCTGCTCTCTGATTGGCCAGATCTGGCATCACTCTTTCTACAACGAGCTGCGAGTTGCCCCAGAAGAACATCCCACCCTGCTGACCGAGGCGCCGCTCAACCCCAAAGCCAACCGAGAGAAAATGACTCAGGTAGTTTGTATACAAAATACAAAAAAAGTACATAAATACAACCCGAACTGGAGACACTCTGGTACCTATGAAACCCACAGATTCTATAGGAGGTTCTAGTTAATCTGTCATGCCTGTTCACAGTGATGGTCCAGAAGGCTGAAGTGTTCTGCAGCTGATTTACTGATTTGCTTGTAATCTGAATTTACAACTTGTGAAGTGTTTAATCACATATTCCTGCTGCTGTCACTGAGGACTGCTATTACAGATGTGCAGATGCACATCTGTAATAGCAGATGTGCATCTGCTATTACAGATGCTATTACATCTGTAATAGCAGTCCTCAGTTCTCTAAACACAGTTTCATCTCCTGCAGCAGCATTCGTTCCTCTCACATGCTGGCCGCACTTGCCAGGATTCCCTGCTGCAACTGAATTACATTTCATTAAAAATTTCCTGAGTGTTTCTAACCAGTGACGTGCAGAAAGGTTCATCACTGGTGCACATCTCCTCTAGTCAGATGTACAACTGGAATGTGTTGCAGCATGGAGCTCAGGAATTGATATGGTTAGATAAAAGAAATCTGATGCTATGTAACATATCTCTTGCTCTCAGTTAAAGTTGAAGAATAAATTAAGTAACTCTGATTGCTCTATGTCCCTACTGATGTAAATTTAATATCTGTGTTCAGATCATGTTTGAGACTTTTAATGTTCCTGCCATGTACGTGGCCATCCAGGCAGTCCTGTCGCTGTACGCCTCTGGACGCACCACAGGTTGGATCGCACACTCTTCCTTCTCCTTCTTCCTTAAGACCAGTATGAAATATGTTTGATACAGAGCAAAGGTTGAAACCAGCTGAGTTATGCCTCCTTTCTGTCGTTCAGGTATTGTGTTGGACTCCGGTGATGGTGTCACCCACAACGTCCCAATATATGAGGGCTACGCCCTACCACATGCAATCATGAGGTTGGATCTGGCGGGCCGCGACCTTACAGACTACCTCATGAAGATTCTAACCGAGAGAGGCTACAGTTTTGTCACCACAGGTATGCCCCTTCAATGATACACCTGTACTTGCACCTTGATCAATCTCAACTTTCACTATACCCCATCACACAGATGTGTCTGGTTCACCATGTCATTTGTCCTGCAGCTGAGAGAGAGATTGTGCGTGACATTAAGGAGAAGTTGTGCTATGTGGCCTTGGACTTCGAGAATGAGATGGCAACGGCAGCCACTTCGTCTTCTCTTGAAAAAAGCTACGAGCTTCCTGATGGTCAAGTGATCACCATTGGCAATGAGAGGTTCCGCTGCCCAGAGACACTCTTCCAGCCATCATTCATTGGTCAGTCACATGTTCATGTTTTCATATTAGTTGTTAGTTGTCTGGTTAACTGATGATCAAAAAAAATCATAGTTTGAACAAAACAGCTGTTTTTTTATTATTATTATTCATTAGCACACAGCCACATATTGGTGTTTCAATCTTCCTGCAGGCATGGAGTCGGCTGGAATCCATGAGACAACCTACAACAGCATCATGAAGTGTGACATTGACATCCGTAAAGACTTGTATGCCAACAATGTGCTGTCAGGAGGAACCACCATGTACCCGGGAATAGCTGATCGGATGCAGAAGGAGATCACAGCGCTGGCTCCCAGTACTATGAAGATTAAGGTCAGCTCTCAGCTCATAATCAGTCCCAGATTCCAGAATGAGTCTAGGCTTTTAATGTGACAGAATGAGAATGAATATATAACTTCCTTCCAACAAAAGTCAGTTATCTGTTGTCTTTATATGTAGTTGCTAAAAAGAAAATCTGTTCATGGGTTTATGGACTTCTTGGTAAACAGAATAATCTAAATAATTATACCCAATGGAACTTCACATGTATTTCAAAAAATGTATTTGTCCTCTTGATAGAACAAATGTTGAGATATTATTTATGTTTTAAGATATTTAACATTTAACTTTGTCCCTCAGATCATTGCCCCCCCAGAGAGGAAGTACTCTGTGTGGATTGGTGGCTCTATCCTGGCCTCCCTCTCTACTTTTCAGCAGATGTGGATCAGTAAACAGGAGTACGATGAGGCTGGACCCTCCATTGTCCACCGAAAGTGCTTTTAAAGAATCCACTCCCTTCCTCAGATTGATGTGCTCTGCAGCCTCCCTTCAGTTTCCAGCTTCAGCACTGCCTTTAGTTTAACCTGCACTGAGCACCAGCAACTACACTCTAGATCAGCCCAATTCAAACTGTGAATCTGCTACTTTGTCCTGTCACTGTAACAACACCTTTTACTCCAGTTGTGCCCTACCCTTCCCTTCTCCATGTTGGTTCTAATTTTGCTTCGAAAATAACCTTGAATGTTGGTGAGGAGCAGAGCACATTTGCACTGCCTTATGATGATGTCACAGAGTGTACAACAGATGATCAGGAGGCGTGGTCTTGCCAAAGGTGTGTAAGCACCACAGACATGACCTTCCAGGAAGAAATAAAGAGCTCCAATAAAACACAAATAATTCTTGTCCTTCATGTAACTGTTGATTATCTTTGTTGTCATAGCAATCAGTTTTAAAGGCAAAAATCTCTTCATCGTAAAGCAGATGTTACATCATAAACTGTACAATAATGATGGAAGCAGTTTAGATGTGTTGGTTGCTTGGGATTGATAAATGCTATTGCTGATATTGTGTTGGCTGTTAGGTGATATTTTTGCAAGTTAGCAAATCTTTAAACAACCTGATAAATTAATATACATAATGTTA